GGCGGATAAACCACCAGTCACTCTGGAGGGAACACACTGCTGTCACTACTTAAGAACTAATCACCGCAGCATAAAAAGATGCACTTCAAAGTGCCTTTAAGTCCCATGAACCAATTTGCCTAGATCTTTACAGGAATTCACTTTTCATAAAAGGAACCTACTTTTATCTTACTGTTAGTGGTTTCGATTTGTTGACATTTTTCTACTGCATTATTTCAAGAAGATCTAACATTTCTATATTACACTTCACACTCAAAAGAAGCTTTAAACATAAACATACACAGAACCCACATACCCAGAACAATCGCTTTCCACTGAACGGAAGTACAGACAGCTTAGCCCTCCCATGAAAAATAATGGTAGACAATGAATCAGGCTGCTAAGTGAAAGATACTATAATCAAACGAAAGCAAAAGAACCAAGCTGCACATCTGTAATTATTCAAGATGGCATGTTACAGGACACCAGGGCCAGGAAGCACTCAGGCTGACACTAGCAAGCCTGAACATAAACTTCAGTGACCTCCAGTGTTGAAGGCCTTGCTTTTAAGACTCCTTCTAGGTGGCCGCTGCCACGGTTTCTGCCAGATGTTCTTCCTAGAGCTTGCCTATCTAAAATTTAAGAAATTAACTGATTTAAGAAAGAATGTTTTGCTTCTGCTGGCTGTTTATAGCTGGCAATGATAAAATTCCTAAGTGGGAAGGGAAGACCAAAGTAACTGACAAAGCCCACTTTCACATGTGCCTGGGCCTCCACAGGAATGCATGTTAAGAGCCTGATGCTCCATTACGACAGATTTAGGCGAAGAGAGTCTAGTGTACTTATCCTCTGTAGAATCCATTACTATAAATCTCACTAAAATTAATATGCCAAGCGGTGCCTGGCCTGTCAATAGGAATACCGTCAGAAAGCACCCTTTCTCAAGCCTTAAGATGTAGATGATGGCGTAAAGTAAATGATGATTAGTTTCTTGGCCAAGCGAGGAGGTTGATAAAAGGCGTTCTATGTCAACAGGTTCACTTCTATGATCAATGCATGCTCTAGTCACTTTTGCTGAGCTAAGGCACAGTCTGCTTGTGTGTGGCTTCAGAATTGAATGCTTTATGAAGTAGGTTTTCCTAGCTCAGAAAATGCACAATGCAGAATTTGAAAAAGCCAACTTCGAACCTTCTGTGATATTTCACAAATAACAGATCCATATCCTTGATTGTTGTAGTAATAGTTCAGGGAATATCTGTGCATTTTATTTCCTCAAACAGCAAAACAAAATGTACACATGGAAAGAATGCAGCACATGGGGCAAGGCCTATGTGGAAGCTTGCGACTTTCCCTTCAGGTTTGAAACTGCAATAATATAGATGGTAGAAAGTCTACTTTCAATGCCGCTGGGCAAGTGTTTCTTGTTTTTTAATAAATGAAAGAAGAATAAGTAATCGTCAATCTTGTTTTTCTCTAAAACCAGCTCTGGTTCATTCTCCCCGTAACAGCAACAGTGACCAACAGCAGAGATCTGATTTTATGATGGGTTGTTAAGAGTTTTGAGGGTAAGGCCAATACTGAACTGGAACTGAATACTGAGGCATGAAGTACTGTTCTTGCTTTGAGTCTGCTTGCAGGAAGATGCTAGAAAACAATGTTGACATTCTTTTTATCGACTCACAAGTATGTGAAAGGGGAAAGGTAGATAATATTCTGAGAACATACTCACTTCAGTTTAACGTATTAACCCTCAAAACATTCTTTGCCCATTCCATCATCTATTTTTAAGGGCCAAAGTTCACAAAAAACCCCACAGAAACTGATAAACCAGTTTACCATGTTGGTCAGTAAATATCCACTCTTTCAAAGATGCTATCAAGACATCACATTTTGTTTCACCAAGCATCTCTGGAAAACGAGGCACTAAAAGCCAGTAAATAAAACTTCAACCTGAGGAAGATGAAAGACTAAGGCTTGGTATCCCTTCCACTGTTTCGAAGCAGTGGGCCTCCAAACGGGCCAAAATTCTGTGGACTTCAAAACAGATGACTACAGCAACCATGCACAGCACTACCCAGGTACTTACTTCTTCTGGGTGTGGATTTAATCGATGCTTCAGTCCCTCATAAAAGCCCAGTGGAATCCTCCCTCCAGAGACAGAACTGCCCTCTTCTGAAGACGCCCCTGCAGGGAACAATACTGTGCAGCTCCCGGGAAGGTGCTAGTGTGCAGATCCTCGGGAAGTCCGCACCCCGAGACACCCAGCAGCAGTTCACACCTATCTTATCACCCAGACCACATCTGCCAGCCTACATGGCAGAAGAAAAGCTTTAGGGGAAGATTGAGGAAGCATCAGGAGGCAAGTCTAAGGACAAAAAAAGGAGCAAAATCTAAGAGGCAGCAGGAACCATGAGTCAGGGATGCTGACTATAAACATTTGCTTCCCCGCTGGGTGCTTGCCTCTGGCAGGCAGCCACAGGAAAGGGACTGCTAGGGAGTGTCAGACACACTCCAGTAATAGAGGCTGGGTACCTGCAGGCTCACCTGAAGAGACGCCAGGGCCTGGGTGTGAGCCTGAATGACCCCACCTTCTGGTGGGCCAGAACTCTACAATTTCAAGTAACTAGTACAAAGAAGCAACTTTCCCCCAGTGTCTTCATCTTATGTTAACCAGCAGGTTACTTCTTTCTGTGTTTGCTCACCTTTGTGTCCCTGGCCTAAATCTGACACAGACATATATTTACTCTTAGTCCTCCTCCATTCACACATGTGTCATGAGCAGGACCTTGCGGCTACTGCATCTCCAGCAACCAGAAGAGGCCGACACTTGACAATCCCTCAGGACATGCACACTGAGTGAACGTGAACTAGAATGAACATGCAACATCTGTTCAAATGAACTTCTGATCCTCCTCGTTCCTGAGAGGTGACAACAGGAAAAGCGGAATTCTCAAGTGGAACACCAAACCATGGTGAAAGCAGTTCTCGACACTGGCACTCAGGAAGGAAATATTGGCCTTGTCAATAAAAGGGAAACATGAGTCCCCAAAACCTCCTGTAGACAATTAAAATGATAGAGAGGAACAATCTCCTGAGCCCATAACCCAGTATGACTAATTCCAAGAAGTTTATTATGACTACCGAACTCCTCACTCCCCTGCAACAAGGATTCTTGATTCAGGTCAGGGCCGCAGGTTGGTTCAGATCTGTTTAAAACAGCATGTACAGAGGAAGAGACAATGCTTACAAGCCATGTATCCAACCAAGGACTAGTATCTAGAATACAAAGAACTCTCAAAACTCAACATTAAAAACACAAATAACCCAATTAGAAAGTGGGCAAAAACATGAACAGACAATTCACTAAACAGGATACACAGACAGCAGAAGGCAAATAAGTCCTTGAAAGGAAGCCCAGCATCAGCAGCCATCAGGGAAAAGCAAATCACAACCGTAATGAGCCAGCACTGCTCTTACCTACCGGAGTGGCTGGAGAAACAGCGACAACACCAAATGTTGACAAAGATGCAGAGAAACCGGATCACTCATGCATTGTTGGTGGGAATGTACAATGGGACAGCCACTCTGGAAAACAGTCTGGCAGTTTCTTAAAAAATTTAACATGCAACTACCATATGACCTGGTGACCTCACTCTTGGGCCTCTGTCTCTGAGAAATGAAAATATACGTCCACATATAAATCTGTACACGGATGTTCATATCAGCTTTATGTGTAGCAGCCAAAACAGGAATCAGCCCACATGCCCCCTCGACAGGCGACGGCTAAACAAGCTGTGGTATAGCCACACCATGCTAGAACAAACTCCGGAGAGAGAACACAGCTTGGATGTACTTCCAGGAATCATGCTGACCCACAAAAGCCAATCCCAAAAGGTCAGGTACTTCCATTTACATCACATTTTTGAAGTGCCAAAGTTTCAGAAACGGAGGACAGATTCGCACCTGCCAGGGATCAGGGAGGTGAGTGGCAGGAGGACGCCAAGTGTGGCTATCAAAGGGCAGCACGAGGGAGCTTTGTGGGGCTGCAACTGCGGGTGTCTTGACTGTGGTGGATACGGGAATCCACACAGGCACTACAACCGTGCAGAACTTATACACACACAGAAAGTATCATTAGAGAAATGAGAGTGGGGAGACAGATGCCAATATTCTGGCTGTGCTAATATACTATGGTTTTGCAAGATGTTATGCTGGGAAAAACTGGGCAAAGGCTACAAGGGTTTGGTGTTATTGCTTACAACTCCTTAAGAGTCTCTAATTATCGTTAATTAAGAAATTATGCGTGTGGAAAGAGTCCAAACCTTTCCATCACAGTCTCACGGAAGGGCCTGGACCGACACTACCGTTCACTCAGCAAGTATCATTTTACACATCAGGTACACACATATACAGACTCTCTAATCCTGACAACAATTGTAGAGACATGTATTATTTCTGTTTTGCAAAAAATAAAAAGAAACCGGGGCTCAGTGGTGAAGTAATACACCTAAAACCACCCAGTAAGTGACTGAGCAAAAAGCCAAAGCACATGAACTATTCTATGCTCCACACCACTTCTCTGACACATAGGCCACTCAATTGCCATAAATGATGACTCAAGAAAATAACCCGTTCCTACCAGGTTTGTGAAAATATCAATTTTCTGGAAGCCCTTTATGACAGTAACGTGAAAGGCCTAAATGGCATAAAAAGGGGAGAAATTTCAGAAAAATACACATGGCATGATATCATGCATCGAAAAAGACCACCCACGAAACAACTCTTCCTATATGTACATTCATATGTATGTAAACACACAGAAAAATACCTGGGAGAACACCCACAGACTGTTACAAGCTGCCACCCCCTGGTGAGACTAAGATGGAAGTGGAGGACTGGTGGAAGGGTGTTTGAGCCTCAACCAGTGTCAGAATGTAAGGCTGCGTTCCAATTCATGTACAACTTGTCTATTTTTTTTTTTTTTTTTTTTTAGGAAGGGGAAAAATAAAGTAAACACTTACTGCATTCATAGATCTGTTCCAGCTTATCCACAGAAGAAAGGGAGAAAAACTTATAACCGGACTTACTACCAACAGCTAGAGACCTGCAAAAAAGCCAAATTCAGAAATAAGAGCTGATACATGTAGATGGTGATAACGCACAAACTAGCTCCCATGTTACTAATTAGTTACCAGCATGCCTAGTGAAAATTAGCACAGAATCAATCATTTCACATCATTTGTACCAGGTGCTTGGAAGAGGAAGATACCACACTTCAGTAAAATAAAGACAGACAATATTCTTATTTAAAACCTGTAAAACTTTTTCTGGAGATCTAATGTACAGCATGGTAACTATAGTTAATGATGTATACTTGAAATGTACAAAGACAATAGAACTTAAATGTTCTCACCACACAAAAAAGGTAACTATTTGAGGTGATGGATATGTTAATTACCTTGTGATAATCACTTAAAAATGTATATCAAAACATGTTATACATCTTAAATATATACAATTTTGTCAATTATGCCTCAATAAAGCTGGGGAGAAAAAATAAAATAAAAAAGACTAAACACCAAACAAAAAGTCCTGCAAATTTAATATTCTAAATTTTAAACCAAGATACTACGATCTAGGTGGACGCAGACATCTCTCTGTGTCTCAGCAGGCTTTTAGCAATCCCAGCTCCATCACTCATGCTGTGCAACGGCCGAGCAGTGGTCAGAAACAAAACTGACCAAAAAGCTAACTTAGAATCTGGAATCAGAAGACCACATCGTTGGCTTATGAGGAAAAAGAGAAGGACCCTTTGACAGCCTCATGTTTAAGATTCCGTACTTATCACCAACACCACTGCTTCTGCTAAGAGGCTCAGGAATGCAAGAGCTCACCAGCCTTTCCTGAGGCAGGGGATCGGTAGCGCTCAATGAAGGATTTCCTGATCAGAACGTTACCTCTCCAGAATGCAACTGACCAAAGAAAGCAGAAACAAGAAGAGTCTAGCTTTTAGAAAAAGAAAGGATGGCTGAATGAAGCAGGAAGCGTGGGATAAGGGAGGGATCAGATACCAGGGTCACTGTTGGTTTAACGTCAGGAAGAACATGAAAACAAATAGCTAAACCAGAAGACTGGAAGTAATGAAGGGGGACACTTTATACTGTATTTGCACCCCAAGATAAGATTAGGGCTATTCTAATGATATCATCTATTAAAAACTTGACATTGCCAGCCACTCTTTCACACATACGTGGAAGAAATATGTTCCGAGAAGGGAGTTTCTATAAATCACTATTAATATTTAAAATTACATCAGGTCATTGACATAGTTTAAGAGAACAGAAACAAAACTTTGTATTAGCTAATATAATCTTTCTTTGCAAAAAATAATTCTTCACTATAGGATTAATTATATCAATAAAAGTAATTGGTATTATTACCTGTAAATTTTTTTTTTTTTTTTGAGTTAGAGTCTCACTCTGTCGCCCAGACTGGAGTGCAGTGGCTGCTCCCGGCCACTGCAGCCTCGACCTGCTAGCTCCGGTGATCCTTCCACCTCAGCCTTCCAAGTAGCTGGAACTACAGGCGTGCACTACCATGCCCGGCTAATTTTTTGATTTATTGTAGAGATGAGGTCTCGCCTGCCCAGGCGGGTCTCGAACCCGCGGGCTCAGGCAATCCACTCACCTCAGCCTCCCAAAGGCGTGGGATTACAGGCTGAGCCAACGAGCCCGGCACCTGTAAATATTTTGAAAGTGATAGAAGAAACAACAAAAATACAAGAATATCCAGAAGCTAAATATAAAACAAAATCTCAGCAACCCAGAACTTCTGGGAAACTGATTTTATTTTCCAGATAACTAAGGGTTGCTATTTTAAGCAATAGCCCCTCCCATTTCTGATTTAAAAAAACAAATCAACCTTAAACTGGGTTTCATGTACTCCACATCAAAAGGTCAGACCGTAGTGCTGAGTTCATAAAAATATCTGTCTATCTTTTGTTTTGCTGACAGTTGTAATTTTTCCTCATGACCATTCTACCATCATTAAGGGTCTCTCTTCTAATTTCTTGCTAACCTGGAAACCAATCACCAAGCTTATTAACATAATATATAAAATAAACTTAGAGAGGCCCTCTCTCATGGGCAAAATTAATGAGCCTTCATGCCTTTTCCTTGAGTTAAATGAGAACCAACCTAGTTTAAACTGAAGAATACAGAGTGGGTGTGGTGGCTAATGCCTGTAGTCCTAGTGCTTTGGGAGTCTGAGGCAGGATGATCGCTTGAGGCCAGGAGTTTGAGGCTGGTTCTCTGAATTCTCCACTAGCAATTTAAGAGTCAGCTTCCTTTACCAGCTGCTAACCAAATTTTGTTGCTAACATCTCTTTTCTCATTCTCTCCACCCTACAGGTTTAAGGCCTTTAAATGGTCTTTTTAACATTCTGAGTGACATTTTATTAGGATTTAGGACAGAGCCAAAATAAATGCTCATGTCTGATCTATCATCTTTAACTGAAAGTCTGTCAGTTAATTTAAACTTGAGTATTTAACATCTAAAAGATAGCGATTCCCACTAAAAAATGAAAATGTGAATCAGACCTTTTGCTTAACCTTACAATTTCTCTTCCCCCTTTCTAACCATCAGTCCATAAAGGCTTTCCCTTTCCATTATCTTCATGAAAGAGCCATACTTGACTCTGAGGCTAAGTGGGAACAGTCTAACACTGTAAACAAAGCAACACGAACTGCTGCTGGCAGGGGCTGGTGCCCTCATGAGGCCTACAACAACTCTCTCTGCCCACTTCACATCTTTTCCATCTCAGACTTCCACCTGGATATCCCTAAGGCCTTTTAGACTCAGTATCCCAGGCAGAGTTCATTTTTCCCCCTCAACTGAATCCTTCATCAATTTTTCTCCCATGGTGTTACCACTGTTCACTCAGAATTCAAGCAAGAAACTGGCATCATCTAACTTCTTCCTGATGGCGACTCAGTCTCCTTTCCATTGGCCACTACTGTTGGACCATACCTTCCTGCCTTCTCAAATATGTCCTCGGCACAGCAGGCAGAGTGACCTAAAACTTTAAAGTCAAAGAATCCTTAAAAACCATCTTTAATTTTCAGATGAAGAGAGGGGAGAGCAGCACCTTCCCAGAACAGTGGCCATAAAGACATGCTAGAAAAAAGCAATATGTCCAGACAGGTTTCTCCCACGTGTCCATATGCTTCAGAACATCAATCCTACAAACACAAGACTTGGAAAGTCAAGTCCCTTACTTTATTCTATCGCTGTAAGAAATGACATTTAAAACAGACATTGCTACATCAGTGACTTCCCACAAGCTGTGGTAGTCATTGGGAAATCTCAGTCCCTGATATTTCCATTGAAGATTTATGTGATCCTCTGCCACTTATTAACCAACTTCACTTTCACAAAGTCCTCCAACATAAGCCTTCCACAGTGTTACTTTCAGAAACCAGGATTGGAACTAACCAGCAAACAGCGAGATGACTGAGACCAGCTGCTCTTGATGTCCCTTTCACTATTCTAGGTTAAAAAAAAAGATGGTAAAAAGCAAATATAACTTATTTACACTTTTAGGTAAGAATAATGAAAAAACCCCACAACATTTGAAATCATATTACCAGTACAGGAAGACAGACAGGACAGTTACAGTTTATATGTAATGAATACTGTGGTGCCAAGCACTTGAAAGACAAAAAACAAAGTGAAATGATTGGAAACATACATACATTCTATTAAGTTAACTGGCTTTCAGACTTTCTCACTGAATACAGTAAATGTGGGTTCTAGACTAACATTATTTGTCCTATTAAAATTTGTGGTTTTTTATTAAAATAAATTCTGGAGATCAAGTGGAGAGAAAAAGGCATAAACCATAAAGGCTTTCCCTGGGAACTTTTGCATTTCTTTCAAGTGTAAATTTAAAACAAATTACAGGGCCGGGCATGGTGGCTCAAGCCTGTAATCCCAGCACTTTGGGAGCCCACTGGTTCAAGAACAGCCTGGACAACTTGGCTAGACCTTATCTCTACAGTAAATCAAAAAATTAGCTGGGTGGGGTAGCACACGCCTGTAATTCTGGCTACTTGGAAGGCTGAGGTGGAAGGATTACCTGAGCCCAGCAGGCCGTGACACTGCAGTGGCCGTGAGCATGCCACTGCACTCCAGCCTGGGCGAGGGAGTGAGACTCCAATTCAAAACAAAACAAACAAACAAACAAAACAAATTACAGTCATTTTAACCTAGTATACTTCTGGTAAAATCCTAACTTACTTCTCATTCCAATTTATGTTTACATTATATCAACATCTGCTGGACAAGACAAAATTATGATATAGAAACCTCATTAACTAATGACTTCAGGACTCATACTCAAAGAAGTGGGTAAGCACATAATTTCCAAGGCAAAAGGTCCTATGTGAGGCAAGAATGACATTCTTCTATTATATAAGAATCTTGGTAGCCTAGTAGAACTAATAGTAAGAATGCCTTCCTTTATTTGATTTCCTACTGACAAATTATGAGTTAGTGAGAAACTGAAAGAGTGGTAAAAAATGTTTTGGAAACTCTAATTTATACAAGGCATAAAACTTCATAGAACTGTAATTTCTAACTGGTAATACTGCCCCATAAAACTACCATTTCTCAAAATACCAGAGCTTAAAAACCAAATCATAATTGGCTTAGCATTTCCTCTTCCCTACCTGGATTCATAGTCAATCTCAATTGTAACAAACTGCAATGGGTTGTCCGAATTGTTTTTGTTGTGCTGGTTTTTGGTCTCAGAAACATTACGGTGTTTGATAATTTTAATATTTACACACTGCTATGCTAGGATTTCTAAATCCACTGTCTTCAGAATCCCACTCTGTAGGTAGAAAAAACATGGCAGAGTGGAAAAGGCATCAGAAGAGAACTCAGAAGACTAGATGCTACCCCTGCCCCACTCCACTATTAACCAACTGTAACATATAGGCAAACTCTGACCCTTTCTGAGTACGATTCCTTATCTGTAGGCGAACTGGCTCATCTACTCCCTTTCAACTCTCAATCGGTCCCACTGTGACTCCCCTCACTCGCTTCACAACTTCAGGACGAGGATATTGAGCATCTGCCGCATATCACCAACGGGGTGCTCACCATTCTACAATTAACTTTTGGCTTTTTAAAAATCTCATCTTCTACTGTATTAATTCCACTCAGCCAACAACAACTCAACCAACTACTTAGTAAGATGTCAAATGACCCACTCCTACTGCTCTTTCATCATCACTTCCTCTTACTCACTTCCCAAGATGGCTCTCCTCCCTTCCAGCCCCTTAACTCATCCTTCCTTTCTCCAGAAATCTCATGCTAACTCTCCTCACGAGTCATTCGAAGCAGCCTCTGAAGAATCAGCTTCCAGCCCATAGGCATCCACATCCACCCTTGATGGGCTGCCCTCTTGCTCTGAGGATGACCCGCCCCCTGAGGCACCCACACTCCCTGGGCCCTGGATCCCCGCTCGGCTCAGTTTCTCCCTAGGTCGGAGGCTCAGTTTGTTCCTTGCCGGGAGAAGCTGTCAAAGTCACCTGCCAAAAAGAACGGTGAGAAAGGGAGAACAGCAAGAAGGGGTCCTGAGACGAAGGGGAGGCGGGGGGAAGGGGCTGAAGAGGAGGAGAAGTGGGGGAAGCGGGCTGAGCAAGAAGGGGCAGGCAAGGGGAGAGGAAGCAGCCCACTCCCAGCGCTCCCCAGGCGGCCAAGCCACATCAAGCCACAAAGTGCTGCCCCGACTCCGTGAGAAAAGAGATCAGAAGAAAGGGCGCCTCCCTGCAGCAGGCGAGACGGCCCATGCCC